TAAAATGTTCAATATTACCATGGTGAAGAAATTATGTCACCAAAACTGGCTTTTTCTTTGTGTGGGTTGGCAAAGGAAGAGGATTACATCCCTGCCTCACTTAAGCATGCACAAAGCTGGAGAATGTCCAGAACATTTCTTTTTCTTTCTTTCTTTTTATTTTTATTTTTTTGGTGGATGTGCTGGAGACTGAACTTTGAACTCAGAGCCTTCTGCATGCCAAGCATGCGCTCTACTGGTAGCAGGAATTACACTCTCAGTCCAAGGAGGTTTTTCAATATTGAGGAAAAGCTAAATATCTCATTAATCAATAAATTCCATTTGTGTATCCTTTACTATATCTTAACTAGATCCCTACTCTATCAGAACTTGTCTGAGCAAACTGGAATAAAGAATTGTAATTCTTTCTACCTTTGTGCCACTTCTTTCTCACTGTTTTATTTCTGTCACTATAGTTTTGTATTTTTTTTTTCAGATAGTGGATAGGTACTATGCATTTACTTACTTATTGTCTGTTTCTTTTGCTACCATGGAAGGTAGGGATCTCTGTCTTGTCCATCACAAGCACCTGGAGCTGTAATGTCATTTGCAGTTAAAGGTACTCAGGGATTTGTTTAGGAACTCTTTCTCCTCCTTTACACTCTTCCCTTGAATTTACACGCACCTTTGCTAGTTCCATGTAGTTTGTAGACATTCCTGCTTTTCTAGTCTCCCTTCCTTTCAGTCTAATTTGTTCTGCACATTTCTATCAGGCTGATTTCCACGCCCCACACCCCCCAGGTCCAACTTGACTGTGTTACTCTGACCAAACTAATCTTCTCTTCAATACAGATCCTTCAGCTACCTTCAAGAATACAACACAAAGTGAATATTCTAGATTTCTTTCTTTGTGTGTGTTACAAATTTAACCATTAGGTAATCATTTATCATCTAAACTGTATGTTTAAAACAGCTTACCATCGATCGAGTTACAATTGATGCATATTAAAGTACACATATTTGAAGTGTGTTAATTGATATGTGTGGATATATGTATATACCCATGGAATCATCACCATAATTAAATAGTGAATATTCACTTTACCTCTGAAAGTTTCCTTTTGCTCCTTGGTAAGCCACCCTCCACCCACTCCCCAAGAATGGCTGATTTGCTTTCTGTCACCATAGTTTGTATTTTCAAGAAGTTTGTATAAATGGAATCATATAGTATATATTATTTGTATATAGTATATATTATTATACTATATAATCATATAGTATATCTCTCAAACTTGCTATTTTGAGATTCTGTACTGCATGTATTAATAATAATTAATTCCCTTTATCATTCAACAGTATTCCATTTCATAATTTGCTGATTAATTGACTTGAACATTTAGATCATTTCTAGTTTGGGTTCATTTTCAATAGAATTGCTGAGGATATCTGTGTACTAGATTTTTTGTAGACTTATGTTTTTATTTCTCTTGAATAACTGTTATTTCTCTTGGATCTGAGTCATATAACAGATGTATGTTTAAGTTTTAAAAAACTGGGGCTGGCATTGTGGCTCAGTGGTGGAGCGCTCGCCTAGCATGGGCGGGACCCAGATTCCATCCTCAGCACCACATAAAAATAAAGGCATTGTGTTGTGTCCATCTACACCTAAAAAATAAAAAAAAACTACTCAACTGGGGCTGGGGTTGTGGCTCAGTGGTAGAGTGCTTGCATAGCACATGAGAGGCTCTGGGTTTAATCCTCAGCACCACATAAAAATAAGTAAATAAAATAAATGTATTGTGTCCAACCACAACTAAAAAATAAATTTAAAAAAAATTGTCCAACCATTTTCCAAAGTGGTTGAGCTATTTTGCACTTTTACCATCAGTGTCTAGGATTCCTGTTTGCTCAGTCGGTGTCTATACTAAATGCAGTACATTAGACTTTTTAATTTTTGCCTTTCTTTTGGGTTTCCTTCCTTCCTTCCTTCCTTCCTCCCTTCTTCCCTCCCTCCCTCCCTCCCTCCCTTCCTTTCTTTCCAGTATTGAGGACAGAATTCAGGGTGCTCTATCACTGTGCTACATCCCCAGCCCTTTATATATTTTGTAAGCTTTCTGTTGAAGGAACCGCTGAGCTAGAGCCAGTCCCCCTTTATATATTTTGAGACAGGGCCTTGCCAACTTGTTGAGGCTGGCTTGAATTTGCAATCCTTCTGCCTCAGCCTCTAGAGTTCCTGGGAGTACAGATGTGCACCACTATGCCCAGCTTCTATTGGGTGTATAAATGCTATCTTATTATGGTTTTTACTTGAATACCTATTTGACTCTTTTGAGCATCATTTATGGTGCTAATTTGCCATCTATATCTTCTTTGGTGACATTCTTTCAAGTGCTTTGCATATTTTAAAATTGAGTTGTTGTCTTATTTAATTGTAAGTTTTCCTTTTTTATTTTAAATACAAGTATTCTGTTGGAAATGTGGTTTGCAAATACTTTCTCCCACTCTGTGTTATCTTTTTATTAACAATGCCTTTTGAAGAACAAAATTTTTTATTATGATAAGGTCCAACTTATTTTTCCCTTTTTTAAATTTTTAATTAATATACATGACAGTAGAATGCATTTATGCACTTTGATATATCATTCATAGATAAGATATAGTTTCTCATTTTTCTGTGTACATGTTGCAGAATCATATTGGTCATATAGTTACATATATACATAAATAATAATGTCTGTTTCATTTTACTATCTTTCCTATGCCCACATCCCCTCCCCTTCCTTCCCATCACTTCACTAACTAATCTAAGGTAACGTTCTTCTTCTCTTGTGAATTAGCATCTGCACATTAGAGAAAACATTTGGCCTTTGGTTTTGTGGGATTGGCTTATTCACTTAGCATGATGTTCTCCAACTCCAACCATTTACTGGCAAATGCCATAATTGAACTCTTCTTTAAAGCTGAGTAATATTCCATTGAGTATGTATACCACATTTTCTTTATCCATTCATCTATTGAGGGACACCTAAGTTGGCTCCATAGTCTAGCTATTGTGAATTGAGCTGCTATAAATGTTGACATGGCAGCATTACTGAAGTGTGCTGATTTTAAGTCCTTTGGATATAAATCAAGGAGTGAGATAGCTGAGTCAAATGGTGGTTCCATTCCTAGTTGTCTGAGGAATCTCCATACTGCCTTCCATAGTGGTTGCACCAATTTACAATTCTACCAGCAATGTGTGAATGTATCTTTTTCTCCCACATCCTCGCCAACATTTATTGTTGCCTGTATTCTTGATGATTGCCATTCTGACTGACTTGAGATGCAATCTTAGAATGGTTTCAATTTGCATTTCTGTAATTACTAGAGATGTTGCACACTTTTTCATATATTTGTTGATCAATTGTATTTCTTCTTCTTAGCCCATTTACTGATTGGGTTATGTTTTGTGTTAAGTTTTTTGAGTTCTTCTTTATATATCCTAGAAATTAATGCTTTATTAATGAATGTAGTTAAGATTTTCTCCCAATCTCTCTCCTCACATTATTAATTGTTTCTTTTGCTGAGAAGAAGCTTTTTAATTTGAATCCATCTCATTTGTTGATTCTTGATTTTAGTTCTTGTGCTTTAGCAGTCTTGTTAAGGAAGTTAGATCCTAGGCTGATGTGGTGAAGATTTGGGCCTATTTTTTCTTATGTTAGGTGCAAGGTCTCTGTTCTAGTGCCTAAGTCTTTGATCCACTTTGAGTTGATTTTTGTGCAGGGTGAGAGAGAGAGGTTTAATTTCATTTTGCTACATATGGATTTCCAGTTTTGCCAGCACAATTTGTTAAATAGGCTGTCTTTTCTCTGGTGAATGTTTTTGACACCCTTTTCTAGAATTATATAACCGTATTTATGTGGGTTTGTCTCTGTCCTCTATCCAGTACCATTGGTCTACAAGTCTATTTTGGTGCCAATACCATGCCATTTTTGTTACTATAGCTCTGTAGTATAGTTTAAGATCTGGTATAGTAATGCCTCCTGCTTCACTTTTCTTGATAAGGATTGCTTTAGCTATTCTGGGTCTCTTATTTTTCCGAATAAATTTCACAACTGCTTTTTCTATTTCTATGAAAAATGTCATTGGGATTTTAACAGGAATTGCATTAAATCTGTATAATGCTACATGTGTTTTCAGGTTGTTTTTATTTTGGTTTTTGCTTTTATTATGAACGGGGAGCTACTGTGTTTAGTAAAATGAACTAAAAGAAGTAAAATACATTAAAATGTATTTTAATGTAAATACATTAATGGAATGTAAATACATTTCATTTACAACAAAATATAGTGACTATGAAAAAGACAGGAGGAAGTGTTGAAATCTCTAGCTATAGCTCTAGAGTACTAAAGAGCACCCTGGCATGTGGGCTCTTAGACTTGATAAAGACTACGGTTACTATTTATTCCTTTTATCTCTTATATAGTTTTGATGTGTCTTTTGTTTTTATAGTATAAAAGTTTTGTGTACTTATATTATTTCTCAGTAGCATTTTACATAAGATTTTTAAAAACAAAATTGCAGCCAGGCATGGTGGTGCACACCTGTAATCCTAGCAGCTCGGAAGATTGAGCCAGGAGGATCACAAGTTCAAAGCCAGCCGCAGTAACTTATCTCCTCCCACCCTCTGACAAAATTTTCCAAACACCTAATAAACACTGAGCAAATAATGTGGGTTCATTTAGTACTATACTTATTAAAAGATGGAATTAGTTTTTTTGCACCAAGTGCTAGAGAAGCGTAAGCCCAGGTTTGGTGTTTTATAATCCAGATAGAAGCTGTAGGGATTTTAAAGCAAGTTCAAAGTTTGAATCACAGAAATGGACCTGTCACTTTTGACCAATGATAAAGTCAGTATATCCTTAAGCTGTCAATGAATTTGTTAAAACTTTAAAGAAATATTCATTTACCCCTTCTGGAGCTTGTCTTATATTTAATTTTGTATATTATACAGTTAAATTTTTATTTTTATTTTCTTAAAGCAGTGCTTGGAACCCCTCACAGCTTGCCTCATCTGATGAACTCACCCATCTCCCCTGCATTTCTACACTTGAATAAAGCACACCAGGTACATAAATAGCATGGAGTATCAGAAGATCAAATGGAGTGAATATATTTCATTGGTTATTAACATTTAAAAACTCAAGAAGTTGAGTATTTTGTTTTAGAAGAAAATCCTTAATAATTATAGTTACTTACAATCATAACTTAATAATCCTACCAGATCCAATTAACCTAATTAATGCAGCTCCAGTTAACCTAATTAATGAACATATTCCTATTTGCAAGGCATGAAGAAGAGAAGAGATATATTTGAGACATATTTTTGCTAGATAATAGATCTGTAAACAAAACAAGACTTTTTATGTGCCCCTTGCTCAAAAAAAAATATCTATAGAGAAAAACAAGTGGACAATAACTCTTAATTCTTAAAACTTAATGTCATAAAAATAGTTCATTATGTATATGAGAGTAAAGAATATTTTTCTTTTTACAGGTAAGTATTTTAACTTGTAGATATAGATATGTGTGTGTATCTATCTATCTATCCACAATATTGGACATAAACATTACTCAGTTTCAGGTGGTATTTAAAGATACAGAACCTCAGTTACAAATCAAAGCTAATATATAATAGAGGATTGATATAAGGCAAATGAATGAATGTGTGGTCCTAAATACAGCTTTTTAAAGGAAAGGCCCATTTAAAATTTTTGGTCCTCAGAGTCTAACATAGTACCTTGTAGGGTCTTCATTCATTCATTCACTTGGCCTGTATTATTGAGAATCTAACACGTGTGTCCTAGACACTGTTCATCATTGCAGCTATAGCGTCACACAAATCATCAGTAGTCTCTGTGGCTACAGAATTTCAGACAGTTGTGGCTGGGGATGGAGCTCAGTGGCAGAGCTCTTGCTCGTCATGCGCAGAACCTTGGGTTCATCCTCAGTGACACAAAAGAACAAACTGTGGGGAAACAAATGTTGAACAGTGGATTTCAATAAAGTGTAAAGAGTGATATGAGAGGGGGAGTTCAGAGTATTGATAATATTCTCTTCACTTTTGGAGAAAGGCCCAAAATGCTTGATCTTGCCTTTAAGGCCTGTACAAGCCAGCCCTCTTGTCTCACGCTCCATGTATTTGCTATCCTCAAGGACCTTATTTCTCCCACTGAGGTCTTTACTCCCACTGTGCCTGGAGTGCTCCCCTCCTAACCACCTGCGACTTCACCCAGTCATTGATGCACCTTCAGATTACAGCACAAGAGGTGGTTCCTCAAGAAAACCTTCCTTGGATTGTCCCGTCTAAATCAAATTCTTCCACTGTTGGTTCACCAATTTTTTTTTCCTCATATACTTACTATTTGTAATTCTATGTGTTTTTATAAAGTCTCCCTTCCTCAGGGGACTATATGATCCATGAACGTAGATGATACTGTATTTCTCACCGTGTAGCGCAGTACTTGACACATAGCTGTTCGATGAATATTTGTTGAGTAAATGATTAAATAAATAAACAAATATAATATCACTGTCATTAAATTCAGAAAGAGTGGAGAAGAGGAGGATGAAGAGGGAAAGGATATGGAATTTGTCTCATAACCACATGGTCACCTCTTCTGTACCATTAAAAGAATTACTATTGCCTGAAGTTGTGAAGTAGAATATTATTTTAAGAAGGAGTTGCTTTTACTCTGATGAGCTCAAGAACTGAACTTGAAGATGAACTGAGTTCTACAACAAATTGCTTTTCAAGAGTAAACTAACCAAGTGTTTTTATCATTCCACAGAGCTCAGTTATGGGTAATACTTCTAACTTATTCCTTCAGAATCTTTCTCATGTACCCCTGACACAGCAACAGTTAATGAAGTCTGAGACTATCCATACTAATAATGTAAGTCTGGCATTTTTTTTCTTCTAAAATAGGTTCATTCCTTTTGTAGAACCGGCCTGTTGAGCAGATTGCTTGTGAAATTTCATGTGTGTATTTTTTTTAATTAAGTTATATCTTTCTGCCATGAGCAAAATCTTATTTCTCTCCTTCTTTTGTAGAAACCTGGCTTACTTGGAGAACCCCCAGCTATGGTACTTCAAACTGCACTTGGAATAGGAGCAGCGCTTCCCTTGAAAACGGAGTTGGGACATCATGGAGAAGCCCATAAAAGTAAATGGCGTGTACTTATGGAGAAGTCAGTAAACAGTCAGACTTGAGATTGAAATGTAGTTTACCTGTATTCTACTTTTATTTACAGGAAGGTCAAATTTGAGTTTTATTCAGTCATTTGAAATTTTAAGAACCTTCTTGACTTTTTTATTTTAATATTAATGAGTTATTGATGGGCTTGCTTCCATGCCAAGATAAGACGATCCTTGTTGGATTTGCTTTAATATTTCATGCAGGTTCACAGCAGTATGAGGGGAAGACATAGATCTATTTGAGATTGACATGCTGCCCACTGAGCAGACAGCACATTACACATGTATCCATTTAATTTTTGCCTGGATAAGAAGCCCTTAGTTTTTTACAAAAGGAATATCTAGTACTTAGAATGTAAAGTTTATTTGTTTTACTTTTAAAAAGTATCTTCAAATTAGTACTTACAGAAAAGTATGATATGTGTTCTGTGTACTTCTGAACACATGAATATATAGATAAATATTTAGAAAAGCAATAGCCTGGTGTTATACCTGATTTTTTAAAAATGTGATTTGGAAAGGTGCTTTCAGTTTGAAGCTTAATTGAAAATTTAGTTATGCATAAATATGCTGACTAAAAACAAAGGACTGCTAATAATTTAAAAGTTAATTAAGTATAGAGAGCACATTTAGCCTTTTGAACATAAAATCAACTAGTCATAGGACCAAATTACTAAGTCAGTTCTGCCTATTGAAAATGACCAGGCAAAAATTAAGTTAGAAATAAAATTTTTTTTTTGTATGACAGTGTCTGTCCTTCTAAAAAATTAAATTTTCTTTGACTAAAAGCTTATGCAAATGTTTACTGCTTGTATTAAGTTAAATAATAAGCCATTTGCTATAGCATGTACTGCTCTAAGAACATGGAAAATTCAGTATCCAAATAAATATACTGTTAAAAGTTAGAAGAACCAATGTACTGACCAAAACAAACAAACATAGAAAACCCAAAGTATCCATCTCTAAACGTTTAGTAAAATAAACCAACCAATTAGTGGTATGATGGTGTTTAACAAACTCTCTAAGTTTAAAAAAGAAGTCTTGGTTGGAGTCATTTGTAGATTTCTGTTTGTGAGCCCTCCAGCCATGGCTGATTTCAGATTACAGATGTGAAGACAATGAATTCAGTTGCAAAGAGAGATGCACAATTGGTTCTCATTAGCTGTTGCAAGCCAGCTGACCAGACTTATGGGGTTCACTCTAAAAGTGTCCAAGAGCTTTTTGACTCAAGACTTTTGTTCTCTTCAAACATGAAAGCAGATAAATTGCAGTGACTGATATTTTTTTTAAAAGTACTGATAAGCTGGGCATAGTGGCACACACATCCTGCAACTTGGAAGGTTGAGGCAAGAGGATCACAAGTTTGAGGCCAGCCTCAGCAACTAAGCGAGGCCCTAAGCAACTTAGGGAGACCCTGTCTCAAAAATAAAAAGGGCTGGGGGTATGGCTCAGAGGTGAAGTGCCCCTGGGTTAAATGCCCAATACAAAAAATAATAATACTGATATAACTTACATGCCAAAAAGAATATGAACTTCTAAAATACAATTAAAATATTATTGAGATTATCTTAGAAGTTGTTGAAAATAAGAAAAGCATTATTACTTTTTTTTTTTCTTTTTTGAGGTGGAATAGGATCTTGCTATGTCACCCAGGCTGGTCTTGAACTTCTGTACTCAAGTGATTCTCTAACCTCAGCCTCCCAAATAGCTGGGACTATTGGCATGCACCACTCTACCCAGCTCACATTAACTTCTCTTCTAGGTTTGTGTTTTTTCATAAAGGAATCTAGCAATTTATAACTTCCAACCTCACCTTTTGAATTTAACAGTTCTTTGATAGGCATGAAATAGGATTCTCCATTTTTTGCCCCCCAAAAGTGATAAAATCCAAAGGACAGTTGGGAATAAATCTTGTCTAACTACAGCTTTTTTGCATTTGTGTTCACTGCAGCATCTAATCTGATGCCAACTCAAACAACCATCACAGCTGGAATGGGCATGTTGCCTTTCTTCCCAAATCAGCACACTGTTGGACAAGCTGGGTCAGGGTTGGGGAATACTCAGGAGAAACAGACCGCTTCCATGGGAATAGCAGAAGGAAATTTCTCAGGGTCACAGCCTTACCTTCAGAGCTTTCCAAATCTTGCTGTTGGAGGCTTGCTGACGGGACACCATAAGCAGCAGCAGAGTCAGCCAAAAGGCCCGGAGGTGAGCTCGGGGCCAGGACACAGGCGTGTTTGTGCGTGTGATCCCCTCATATTGTATCTGCAATGAAATGTTTCTAATACTAGAGTGTTCTAAGTTATGGTTATTTTATAGGTGATAAATTTATGAACTTGGATAAACCAGTCATTTTCAAACTTGAAAGGAGGTTAATAATATGCCTAAAGTATTTACATAGGGATGACAAACTAGATAATTGCCTTGTCAGTGAAATGATTTTCAGTAGCTTGCATTTATGCCTCAAAATTGAAGAAAGCATTGCACTCTTTTGAAACTACCATTTTATTGTAAAGAAACAAACAAAAATCCCTCTTTTAATAAATTATGCCGGCTGACATTTGGTACTATGCTTAATTATTTGCCAGTTTGCCTATAAGTAAAATAACTTTGATTTTTATAAAATGAATTTTTAATGCTGTTATTATAAAATATTGTCAATATGAATTTTTTTATTTTATGACTATTTGCTGTTTTGAAAAGTATGTGCTAAAGAATGGCTTTAAAAATACTTGTTATCTTAAAAATTAAATATGAGCTAATAAAAGCTCAAAATTTTACAGTTCGGAAGAGCTTAGGAGAATCATTAATACCGATCCAGTTAAATAGTGATATTATTTATAAGGATATCTTTCTATTTATTTATATCTTCTTTAATTTCAACAGTGTATTGTAGGTTTAATACAAGACTTTTCCTTCGTAGTTAATTCCTAAGTATTTTATTATTTTTGATGCTTTTATAAGGGAATTACTTTCTTAATGTTCTTTTCAATTTGTTCAGTGTTTGTGTATACACACAATTGGTTTCATGTGTTGATTTTTTTATCCTGCAATTTTGCTAGATTATTTTATTCTAACAGTTTAGAACTATGGGGGATAAGGTTTTCTATTTATAACATCATGCTTTCTTTTTATTCTGTGATTTGAATGCTTCTTATTTACTTTTCCTGCTCAACTGATCTAGCTAGAACTTGCAATACTGTGTACTTGAAAGAGGCAAGCGTTGGCATGACTTGCTCCTGATCTCAGAGGAAAGGTTCTGGTCTTTAGTCATTGAATATGATGTTAGCTCTTGGCTTTTCATATATAACTTTATTATGTTAAGACAGTTTCCTTCTATTCTTGTTTTGTTGAGTCTTTTTATCATGAACAGGTGTTTAATTCTGCACAGTGCTTTTTCTGCATTGAGATGATCATGGTTTTCCTTGCCTTTTTCTGTCATTGTGGTATATTACATAGATGAACCTACGCATGTTGAACTATTCTTGCATTTTAGGAATAAATCTCACTTGGTCATGGGGTATAATGCTTTTAATGTGCTGCTGAATTCAGTTTGCTAGAAATGTGTTGAGGATTTTTGCTTTAATATACATAAGAGATATTGGTCTATAGTTTTCTGGTATTGTCTTTGTCTGGTTTTGATACTAGGACAAATCCTGGTCTTATGGAATGATTTAGGATGTGTTCCTTCTTTATTTTTGTATAAGAATTTTAGAAGGACTGATGTTAAATTTCTTTTAAAATGTCTAATACCTTCACCAGTAAAGACACATGATTCTAGGCCTTTATTTGTAGGAATATTTTGTGTTTTGTAAAACTTTATAACTTATTCTCATTTAGAGCCAGTTGAGAACCTCCGGTGTGTATATAACCCCACAACTCTGAACATTTCAGAAACAAAATGTGTGAGCTCTTTGCTGGATTCCTTTTCCCTATAAATTTAACCTCTTGGAGGTTATATTTCCTTTATTCTGTTTAGGAAACAAAATTAAAGCCAATTAAACATGAAAATCAAGCTACTAGGTTTAATTATATAATTCTGAACATTGTCTTATTTTAAAATCTTTATGATCAGAGAGTTAAAAAGTAAAACATTCTGTCAGAGTATATGAAATACACTGAAGAATTAGAGCATGATTTCATCTTTTTCTTCTGGTAAAGAAATGCTAGAATCCTCTTACTTAAGTAGTTATATCAAAATAAAGTGACATGCATTTTCAGGAAATGTGAATTTCTAGCCTCATCATCTAAATGTAGAGTTTGGTTTTATTAAACTCCCTTATTTTGCTTGCTATTATTTTTAGTACCAGAGGTAAATCAGTTTTGCTATTTGGTTTGTGGTCACATGATATAAAATAAGAATCATAATAATAAATATTGATATCTGTATTTCTAGAGATGTGATATAGAAATTTTTTTCCATGATGAAGATGAATTATTTCAGATTCAAGTGAGAAGTTGGATAGGATATCTTAAGTTCTATTTAAAAAAAAAACAAAAACATTTTGTTTTACTTATAGTTGGACACAATACCTTTATTTTATTTTTATGTGATGCTGAGTATTGAACCCAGCACATGCGCTACACACACACACACACACACACACACACACACACATGTGCTACGCAAGCACTCTACCGCTGAGCCATAACCCAGCCTTCTTTAGTTCTATTTTAATTCTAAAATAGTGTGTATCTAGGGGCTGGGATTGTGGCTCAGCAGTAGAGCACTTGTCTAAGTGTGAGTGATGCCCTGGGTTCGATTCTCAGCACCACATAAAAATAAATAAATAAAACAAAGGTATTGTGTCCAACTACAACTAAAAAATAAATATTAGAAAAAAATAAAATAGTGTGGTTCTAGAAGGTTTTTAAAATAATAGCAGATAAAATATAATTTTAATCAAAATTTGTATATATTTTGTAAGTTTATATCATCAAAGTTTAGGTTCCACAAATTTGAATCACAGTAGACTAGATGTATTGAAAAATAAGTATTTATCTATTTTGCATCTTTATTTTCCTATACTCTTATTAAATGCTCCATCTTTTGTTTTTGATGAATAGGCTGCCTCTAAGAATCAGACTTCACTCTTGGGAGAACCACCAAAAGAAATCAGACTCAGTAAAAATCCGTATTTGAATCTGGCAAGTGTGTTGCCCAGTATGTGCTTATCATGTAAGTGGGGGCCACTATCAGTGTTTTGAAGTTTTACTGGACAAGTTCTATGATGGGTTTTACTTTAATTTTGATCAATGGAAAGCAAATAATTTCTGTTAACAAAATTAAGCCATAAATCATAACTTCACTCTTTAAATTGAAAAAACAAATTAAAATTAAGACACTTAAATTGAATACTACTTCATTTAAGAAAAATATTTAAATAGTATTTTATTAAGAATGTAATCGTTCTATTGGATTGTTGAATTATGATTGAAATTAATGGGGGCAAAGAATTATTTGGCAGTACTATAATTATTTATAAACCAGAAATGTAAACCTCTAAGTAATATACAGAGTATTTGGATATCCCCCAAATTCATGACTACTAATCAGTAGAAATGAAATTCTCATTTACTTTTTTTAGTTCTAATTTTTGATATTTAATTGAGTGGTGACCTCTAATAAAATATATTTCTTTTTATGCTTCAAAAATTCTAAGTAGTTATAAGATTGGGCTGATTATATAGAATATTGCTAGAAAATAATTTGTGACTTTATACAATTTTTTTAACTGTACAGATTAATGGGATTTACTGTAATATTTTCATGTATTATATATTGTGAATTGATTGTGTCCATCCACTCTTCTGTTACCCCATTTATTTTCTTGAGGACCTTCTCAGTCCTCCAATTAATATGAATCAAATATTTATATTTTTGTTCAAATATTTTTTAAAAAATATTTTGTTTTAGTTGTAGTTGGACACAATACCTTTATTTAATTTTTAGGTGATGCTGAGGATGGAACCCAGCACCCCGCACGTGCTAGGCGAGCGTTCTACCACTGAGCCACAACCCCATCCCCTTCCCACCCCATCCCCACTCAAATATTTTTAAGGTCACAAATGTGTGCTCTAGAAACAATGATAGTCACTGCAATGTTGATTGTCCATAGTGAAAATTTGGAACATATTGTTTATCAGTAAGGGAATGGGTAAATAAATAGCTTATCATAAACCAGAACCCTGCAACTTCTTAATCATTCATATGAAATAATCACTGAAGCATATTTTAAGTGGAGAAAGCAAATATATCCATAAAATGATTCAATTTATGTTTATTTAAAGCTATATATTTTCCTATACATATATTTGTATAAATACATGAAGTAAATCTGGGGAAATAAATTCTTACCTGTTACCTCCAGAAAGAATAGGATTGAATGAAAAGAAATTAAAGATTAATTTCATTTTTAATATACATCTTCTGTAGTTTACAAAGTGTCCTCTTGAACTTAAATATTAATTTTTTATCTTTTAAAAAATCAGAAAAAAATTAAATATGATTCAAATATGCTGACTCTGCTTTGATCTGGCTTAAAAATTGATGATGACAACCATTGCTTGAATAAGAATGTTTAATTTACATTTTGTATACTTTGTTGTAGAGATTACATATGTATGTTTAAATGTTTCCATCATAGTTATTTTATCCATGGAGCAAACTTTCATTTTTAGTTTTTCCAAATGAATGAAACAATATCATATACTATATATACTTTGCCCTGGGGAAAACAAACATAAATATATATTCACAAACTAAAAGTTGTGTTGTGTAGAGTTGTTGTGTTAGTTAATGAGTTTTGCACTCTGTTTATAATTTGCGATAGAACAATCTAAAAATTGTGTTTATTTTGCCTTTAGCTGCTGCAAGTAAAACCACTCTACATAAGACTGGAATTTCAAGCAACATTCTGGATGCAATCTCTCAGGGAAATGAATCGCAGCATACATTGGAGAAGTGCATTGCTTATTCTCCGCCCTTTGGTGATTATGCACAGGTAAATGATTCTCAGGTTCAGATGATATATAGAAAAACTGGTTCAATCACATATTGAGTTCACTGAAAATGAAATAGCAATGTGTTTAATGTTATTAAAGACCCATGAAATTGCAACCATCTATATGTATTTCTTGTTCACCATTTGAAATTTAGGAATGTGTTTCAGAGATTGTTTAGAATAGTTTGTCCTAGATATTTACCTTTTGTTCTTTATACCAGTGGTTTTCAAACAGCCTACTCACTACATCCAGTCCACTACCTGTTTTTGTAAATAGAATTATATCGGAACATAGCCACATCCATTCATTTACATGTTTTCTGAGGTGCTGTCAGGCTACAATGAGAGAGAAGTAGTTACAACTGACACACACATAGTCTACAAGAATAAATATTTACTATCTGACTGCAGAAAAACTCTGCTGTCCACCATCTTACTCAAGTATAGATCCAAGAAATTCAAGAAAATGCCTCTGTTCTTCATCACTGTTTACAGATGTACAAAGATGATCATTTTTACAGATTCTGCTAAACTAACTTTTAATTTTAAGCCAGATACAATCATCCCTCAGTATCTGTAGGGAATTTGTTCCCAGAACCTCCTGTGAATATGGAAATTCATAGATGCTCAACTCCCTTATGTAAAACAGTGTATTATTTGCATACATTCTATGCACAGCCTCCTGCATACCTTTAACCATCTCTAGATTACTTACAATACCTATTATTCTGTAAACACTGTGTGAATAGTTTTTATACTGTGCTGTTTACGGGATAATGACAACAAAGTCTGTACATGTTTAGTAGTGATGCAATGTTTTGTTTTGTTTTTAATAATTTCAATCTGCAGTTGATTGAATCCATGGACACAGAACCTGTGGGTAGGGAGTATCATGCTACATTAGATTGAAGAGGTATATTGTGTCACGACCTAGATGTCTATTTGACATGGCCTCTTTCATCTTCATCCTATTCTAAGTAACTTAAACTGAGCATGTACATCATCATGTCAGCACTATATGATTATGTAGTCATCGGAGCTGTATAATTAGCAGTTTTGATTCTTTCTTATTTCTGAGAGCAGACAGCTTCTCAGCCCTATTCTGTCTATCGGAGCAGCAACTCCACTTAGATTTCCCTGCAGCAATTTTACGTTTGCCTTCTCTGTCTCTAATGGACTTAGAAGAGAATACTACTTTAATTCGCTTAGGACAATTAATGGCTGACTATGCTTTTATGAAAGAGTACTAGAAACACAGTTCTATTTCCATTTTAAAAATGGCATAGCTGGATATTTGTAAGATATGTGGCAAAGTCTCTCACATATCTGGATGAGATGGAGGACCAGGGGTAGGAAAGTGCCGCAGGTGGGTAGCAGCGTATTTCAGTTTGAAGTACAGCAGTCAGGCCCTGCTGCCCCAGAAGCACTCACTCTCTTGTTTCGCTGAGATCCTATCTTTGTTATGAACATTTTAAATAATTACTTAGATAAAGACTGTGTGTGCATCTATACTCTCTACTCTTGTAAACAGGAGCAGCACAATGCATTTTTTTAAAATTTAGTTCAATGTGTGTTTAAGCTTCAAAAACTATTTTTGTACTGACCTTTGCATTTCTTTTATTTCACTTTTGAAATCAGTCTCACTTATCTCAGCAGTTTTGTTTTGTGGGTCAGTGTGGTTTGTTATACATGTCACATCTGTGGAAAGACTCTCCTTTACATGAGGGAAGTTGTGATAAACGTGCCTTTCGCGTCCCCGGCCTCACAGTTGTCTATCCGGAGACGCTGTGGAGGAGTGGGTTTTCTGTCCCTTTGGACACTCCCTGCTTCCTCCTGGTGCTTGTCCATAGAGTGAGATGTCTCTCTCTCTCTCTCTCTCTCTCTCTCATCCTCATAAAATAAACTTAATTAAATATTACTAATGGAATAAAGTAACTAGAAAAAGGTGGTCATGTGTTAGGAATTCCTTGTACCATTGCCACAGCTGGAATGGAGGAAGAGATTTAAGAAAAAGGAACTAACAATTTTTGTTTTATTACTAACACTCGGCATATGCATTGCAAAGTAAGCATTTTTGTTTTATTTTTTGCCGTCTTGGGGTTCAAACCCAGAGCCTTACACATGCTAGGTGGTGTACGCATTTAAACTTTCCTACAAGCCTATGAGCTTTAAATTACTCCCTGCATAATACAAGTGAAAAAGCATAAAGGAGTAAATAGTCTTTCCAAATTCATGCACTTATAAATGGTTCCTCTGAATCCAGAGTCTACATTATCTTCATCATACAGAGAAATTTCTTCAGGCATGGAAGTAGTATCTCATAGGAACTATATGTATAGGTTTCTTTTAAAAAAATGTTTAGTTGTAGATGGGCACAATACCTTTATTTTATTTATTTATTTGTGTGTGGTACTGCGGATTGAACCCAGTACCTCATGAATGCTAGGCAAGTGCTCAACCACTGAGCCACAACTCCAGCCCTGTGTGTAGGTTTGAATGCATAAGGATTAAGAGAGATTGGATATGTTAAAGCATGGATGAATAGAATAATTTCTGTTTCAAATAAAACTCTCACATTTTAAAATGCAATAGTTGGCATTTCCAGTATTAGTGAAGTTGCTTATAACACCATCCCTCCTACAGATAACTTTTATAAAAACTGAACTAAATATGAAGAGAAAACTGTTATTTGAAGACATTGGAGAATGACCCAAATCAGGCAGAAACTGAGAGGGAATCAGCCCCTGAAAGATGGGGACTCTGCAGGAATGGAATTTGTCTCTGTGGCTTTTTGCCTAACACCGGCGTCTAGTTTGCACAGAAATCCTCAGTCTTAACCGCTTGAAGAGTCAGAAGACAGATTTCTAGGACTATTAGTGAGGCTATGAAGTAAGAGGGAAAATCTAGGAAAGAGGAAATTGCGTGGGTTGGAGCCTCAACATCCATATGGCCACTCAGCATGAGGGAGAGAGACTCTGGAGACTTGGTGGAGAAGAGCAGCTGGAGGAAGGGAGGAGAGAGTCAGCTCCACCCCCGGTAAAGACAGAGTTTTGAATTTAAGTTCAGCAAATTTAATTCCTTCTAAAACTAGAACAAAACACTCTTTGGAGGAGTGTAATAGAATCTGTGTTCTCTACATGTTTCACTCACAAAGTCCAGTAAACAAAAATTACTAGATTTTTGAAGAAGCAAAAAAGTATGCCCCATAGTTAAGAGAAAAAGCAGTTTCTAGAAACTGACCCCAAGTTGATCCAGATGTTGGTGTTAATAGACAACGACTCTAAAGCAGCTATTATAAATATGCTAACAACTTAAAGGAAAAGATGAATTTAATGAGCAGATAGGAAATCTCAGCTAAAAAGTATACATTTAAAAACTGAATAATTCTAGAATTGAAAAGTATCGTTTCTCGTGTTAAAAAATATAATGGATGGACATTACAGAAGGTTGGGGCAAGCAGGAAAAAAAGATTCAATAAACATAAAAACAGATAAAAATAAATAAGTCAATTGGAAGAAAAAAGGGAAAAGAGATTGAAGAGCAATGAATACATTCTCAGGGACCTAAGTTAAATATCAGTCTAAAATACATGTAAGTAGAGTCTGAGGAGGAGAGGAGGAAGATAAATGGAGCATAAAGTATCTGAAAAAGTAATAATAAAAATTTCCAAATTTGCTTCAAAAAACAGATTTAATAGACACAGAGACCTTTCTTGCAAAGCAAAAAAAGTAGAATTTTGCATAGGCACATTATAGTTAATGTGCTGAAAAACACAGCTTTAAAGAGAGAATCTTGAAAGTAATTGATATAAACAATGCATGTAAAAAAATTTAAACACAACAACAATGCATATTATTTTGATGGGTTTCTCAGCCCTGACACTATTGACATTTGGGGCTATGTAATTCTCTCTTTTGGAGAGCTATTCTGTGTGCTGCAGGATATTTAGCATCATCCTTGACTTCTATCTATATATTGCCTTCACCATCTATACAACCACTATTAAGAGAACTGGTAAATAAAAGATTGTTATCTTGATTTATTTAAAAGTAAAATTTACTAAGGAAATTGGGGCCTAATCCCACAAGATGGAGACTAGGGCCTACTTTTTCTTCTGTTAGATGCAGGGTCTCTGGTTTTATTCCTAGGTCTTTGTTCCATTTTGAGTTGAGTTTTGTGCATGGTGAGAGATAGGGGTTTAATTTCATTTTGTTGCCTATGGATTTCCAGTTTTCCCAGCACCTTTTGTTGAAGAGGCATTTTTTTTTCTCCAATGCATGTTTTTGACACCTTTGTCTAATATAAGATAATTGTAATTTTGTGGGTTAGTCTCTGTGTCCTCTATTCTGTACCATTGGTCTACCAGTCTGTTTTGGTGCCAATGCCATGCTGCTTTTGTTACTATGGCTCTGTAGTTTAGTTTTAGGTCTGGTATAGGAATGCCACCTGCTTCATTCTTCCTGCTAAGGATTGCTTTAGCTTTTCTGGGTCTCTTATTTTTCCAGATGAATTTCATGATTGCTTTTTCTATTTCTATGAGGAATGTCATTGGGATTTTGATTGGAATTGCATTAAATCTGTATAGTGCTTTTGGTAGTATGGTCATTTTGATAATATTATTTCTGCCTATCCAAGAGCAAATTAGATCTTTCCATCTTCTAAGGTCTTCTTTGATTTCTTTCTTTAGGGTTCTGTAATTTTCATTATATAGATCTTTCACCTCTTTTGTTAAGTTGATTCCCAAGTTTTGTTTTGTTTTGTTGAGGCTATTGTAAATGAGGTAGTTTTCCTCATTTCTCTTTCTGAGGATTTGTCACTGATATACAGAAATGCATTTGATTTATAGTGTTGATTTTATATCCTCCTACTTTGCTGAATTCCTCTCTCTCCCCATGCACAAAACTCATCTCAAAATGGAACAAGGACCTAGGAATAAAACCAGAGACCCTGTGTCTAATAGAAGAAAAAGTAGGCCCTAATCTCCATAGTGTGGGATTAGG